TTCCTGGTTCTGACATGAAACGGCTTATCAGTCCCACTGCATATACTAAATCTGGTCTAGAACCGACCATTGCATACATAAGACTCCCAACCGCGCTTGCATACAGTATATTTTCCATGGGTCTTCCTTCTTCTTCCTTTTGGTCTTTAGTAAGATTCTTTAATCTGAACTGAGTTTAGGTTGGCATGGTCACTTCCCTAGCTTCAGACATCCCAAACGTTTTTAGAACCTTCTCCAAGTAGTTCTCTTGCGATAAAGCTAAGGTTCCCTTCGTTCTGTCTCTTATAATATCCATTCCCAATATTCTTGAAGCTTTTCCTACGTCCTTCATCTCAAACTCTTTATTGAAGCTCTCTTTTACACTTCTCATTTCTTCTTTTTCCCCTGAAGCAATGAGCATGTCGTCGACGTATAGAAGTAAATACACTGCTTTTGTGGTGCTTACGTTTCTCATGTAAACACACGGATCTTCCTTGCTCATATCAAACCATTGGCTCTTCATGAAACAATCAAACCTGAGATTCCATTTCCTTGGTGATTGTTTTAAACCATATAACGACTTCTTCAATAAAAAAACTTTATTCTCATCTCCTTTCTTAATGAATCCTTCTGGTTGACTCATTAAGATTCTTTCTTCTAAATCTCCATGAAGAAAAGATGTTTTAACGTCCATCTGCTCAAGCTCATAATTCTTGTTGATCACGAGTGACAGCATTACTCTAATTGATACATGCTTCACAACCGGTGAAAACACCTCACTGAAATCAATTCCTTCTTTCTGGGAATAGCCTCGAGCCACCGATCTTCCTTTAAACTTTGGATCCTCTACTCCAGGGATTCCCGGCTTCAACTTGAAGATCCATTTTCTACCTATAACCTTAGCATTCTCGGGTCTCTCAATGAGTTTCCATGTATTAGCTCTCTGAAGAGAATCCATCTCATCCCCTGCAGCATTCTTCCAGAATTTTCTGTCTTTACTCATCATAGCTTCTTTAAATGTTTTTGGCTCGTCTATCTCAATCTCCTCTGCTGCAGCTAGAGCGTGAGCCAAAAATTCAGTATCTTCAAACCTTGAGGGTGGTCTGATTTGCCTCCGAGTTCTGTCCCTTGCAAGCATATAGTCACTGATGTCCAGTTCTTCTTCTGCGTTTTCTTTTCCTTCAGAGCCGGTTTCTTCTGACTTTTCTGAGTCTTCTGGTTCGAAAGCTCCACCTTGAACCAATGCGTCTACAGTTTTGTTTCTAGATGGAGTAGGACCTTCTATAAGGTTTTCTTTGAATGTCACTTTGTTTTTCTTTTTCTCTTGAACTGTATTTTCAGTTTTAGCTTCTTTACGGTGAACTAACGTGTGCTTATACATTTCCTCTTCGTTAAACACAACTTTCCTGCTAGTGACACATTTCCTCTCTTCAGGTAGCCATACCAAATATCTTTTTACCCCAAATGGGTATCCCATGAAAACACCTTTTAAAGCCCTAGGACTTGTCTTTCCTTGAATGGTATGAACATAAGCGGAACATCCAAAACTCCTTAAGTGATTTAAATCAGGTTTAGAACCCGACCATACTTCTTCTTGTAATTGGTGGTCAATGGCAGAACTTGGTGATCGGTTCATTATGTAAACCGCTGTAGATGCCACTTCCGCCCAGATGTCTTCTCCTAACCCAGATTCTGCGAGCATGCATCTCACCTTCTCCATGATCGTTCTGTTCATTCTTTCAGACACACCGTTTTGTTGAGGTGTGTATGGACAAGTCTTGTGTCTTTTGATTCCTGAGTCTTTGCATAGTTTATCAAAATGTTGGTTGCAAAACTCTAACCCGTTATCAGTCTTAAGACACTTAATTTTCTTTCCAGTCTGATTCTCTATTGCTTCCTTCCATTCTTTGAACTTGCTGAATGCTTCATCTTTAGATTTAAGAAAATAAATCCAAACCTTTCGTGAATAATCATCTATGAAGCTTATAAAATACTTGCACCCGCCTAGACTCTCAGGACTTGTTGGTGCACCCCATAGATCAGAGTGTATGTACTCCAAAACGCTTTTTCAAGTATGCTTAGCTCCCTGGAAGCTTTGTTTGTGAGAATTTTTCAGCACACACGTCTCACAAAACTCTAACTTATCCACTTCTTTATTTGCCAAATACCCATTTTTCACGAGTACATTCAGATTCTTCAAGCTCATGTGTCCCAAACTTGAATGCTAGATCTTAGTCTTGTCAATGTCTGCTCGTGATACATTCACTTCGCCTTTTGAAACCATTCCTTGTAAGTATTATAAGCCTTCATGGTACTTACCAGATATAATCTCTTTCCCATCCTTGTAGAAACGAACCATGAAATCCTCTCCTTCGTATTTGCACCCTGCTTTCTTAAGCATTCCATACGAAATTAGATTTCTACTCATTGTTGGCATACACCTCACGTTGGTAAGTATAACATTAGATCTGTCAGGTTTCATGATCTTGATCTTGCCAATCCCTTTTACCTTGCAGTGAGTATTATTTGCCATCAGAACTTTGCCACCTTAAAATTCTTCCAAGTCAAATAACACGTCCTTGTTGGGTGTGATATGGAAAGAACAACCAGAATCCATAACCCATTCCGAGCTGGCGTCTTAAGTACTAACAGTACGTACTATTGGCTGCTTAGGCTCAACAGCTATATTAGCAGCTTTATGTGTTTTTCTATCTGGACATTCCCTTTTCCAATGTCCTTCCTTCCCACGTATAAAACACCCATTGTTGTTCTTATCGTATCCCGACCTTGACTTAGAACGCCCATGTCTGCTATTGGATCTTCCTTTCTAGTTCCGGTTACATCCCTTTTTGATGATCTTCGCCTTTCCTCCATGTATAGACCTTCATCTTGTGACTTTGAAATTTTTCCACTTTCAAGTAACTCGCGTTCCTTTGACTTAGCGGCCCCTGTCACTTCATTAATTTTGAGTGTATCCCTGCCGTATTTGAGAGTCTCCTTAAGCTGATCATACATACGTGCATTGAGTTTAGTAGTAGTATAGCTTGAACTTCTTCTGAAACATCCACGTTCAAGTTATTAAGATCTGCTACTAACTTTAGAAAATGATCAACGTTGGTGTCAATTCTCTTGGAATCGTTCATCTTGAACGTATAGAACTTGTGTTGCAGGTAGATACGATTTGGTTACGACGTCTCTTTGTACAATGTGTTTAGTGCAGTCCACATTGCAGCAGCCATTTCACAGTGGCTAATCTTCTGTAGAACTTGATTACCTACGTTCACGATAATCAGGTCTTTAGCTTTCTCCAATTTTTCAAGCTTTGCCAGATCAATCTTTGAATCTGTGCATGTAGCGACTTCTCGTGTGTCCTTCGTATCTTCTTCTGAATCCTCTTGTGTAGGTGGCGTATCCTTCAGTAGCGTCTCATCAGTTAGGATGTCTTTTAGCCCTAGGACTCCAAAGTGAGCCATCATACGAACTTTCCACAGCGTAAAGTTTCTGGTTCCTTCGAACCTCTCTACTTTATACTTTGTAGTAGACATCCCTTAAAGCACCAGCAATCTAACCTGGATTGCTCTGATACCACTTGTTAGGTTTTGTATCTAACTTTTTGCTTTTGAATATCTATGAAGCAAACGTATCTTTATTGATAATGCAAGTGTTTCACAATAACAAATAGAAATCACAAGAACACTAAAACTTATAGCTATGGTCTTGGTCTCTCTCTATTCTTTGTTATTAGCTTTGTATCGGATGATCTTAACCTTCACCTATGGCCTCCTTATATAGTAGATCACGTATTCCTTCTCCTCTGACACTTTTGTATAATTTCCTTTTGTCTTTGGAAATCATTGACCAACCTTCCATGAGAAAAGGAAACTAACGTTCCTTTGGTTTTGTGCAGGTTCTAGCTGGGCTGGAAGTTTGGGCTAGAAGAGTATTAATGTGGGCCTTTATCTCCACACCTAGTTCTTTTTGAAGACCTTCTTCTATATTAAAAGGGATGTACCATTTATATCTACTACAAAAAAGTCATGTTGGACCATCTCATTAATATGACATATTTAATTATTTATATTAATCAATCAAATATATATAATTGGAGGAATATTTTAATAATTAATAAGATATTAGTAATAAATTTGTTGAGAAAATATCTAACAAGATCTTATTAAGAAGTTTAAATATTTTTATAAAATATGCATTACTTAATTTCGTGATTAATATATATAAATATCTATATTAATGTTAATTAAAAAGAAAAAGTGTTATATTTTATAATTTAGTTATATTCAATATTATATTAAAATAAAATGCTATGTGAAATGAATATAAAATATATTAAATTGGTAAAAGAAAATATTTTATTTTAAAAATTTTCTTTTATTCAAATAAATAAATAAATATCACTCACTTTTAAAACATATTAAATTTTTTAAATCATATAATATTTTTATACAAAAAATTTAACATATATTTTTGTAACTCACAACAAATCCATTATATAAAAATTATATATGAATATTATTTTTACTTTAAATCTTACAAAAATATATTATATAAAAATAATTATACAATTATACTATATATAACAATAGAATGTAAATCATATATATTTGAAATATTTTGTTATATCTTTATAAAATGAAAAAAATACCTGCACGGATGTGCAGGTTCAAAATCTAGTGTAAGATTATATGGCAATACAACAAAGAGAATTCATTAAGTCTACAAGTAAAACAATTAAGTCATCCTAAAAAGACGATGATCTTGTATATTATATTTATATACGTGGGAATATGCTATACATATCATAAATTGTTTCTGTCTATAGCATAACATGTACATGACTAGCTGTATTTTAAGTCGCTTCCAATTCATTAACATAAAATAAGATCTAGAAGTATGAACTTGAATTCTATATAAACACTATAAAACTTCGTTAACCAACACAAAAACAAAATCTAACAAACAAACAATCTTTCTCCTAAAAAATTATTATTTTTCCTTCTTTCAAGATGGCTTCTAAAACTATTTCCATTGTTCTCCTCTTCAACATCATCTTCTTCACTATGGTTAATGCTCAATGTCCCCCAGACCAACTTGTTGTTAATGTATGTGCAAGTTTGTTGAATGGAGTGGTTGATGTTTCTCTGCCGGCAGGATCTTCTCCTTGTTGTCCCCTTCTCAGTGGTATCGTGGACGCAAACGCTGCCGCATGTCTTTGTAGTGCAGTNTTAATGTATGTGCAAGTTTGTTGAATGGAGTGGTTGATGTTTCTCTGCCGGCAGGATCTTCTCCTTGTTGTCCCCTTCTCAGTGGTATCGTGGACGCAAACGCTGCCGCATGTCTTTGTAGTGCAGTTCGGGCTAATGTCGGAAACTTTGTTAACCTGAACATTCCAGTAGCAGTCAGCTTCACACTCAACCATTGTGGGCTTCCAACGGATTTTCAGTGCATTTGAATAATTTCTTATTGTTTTTCTATATTTCTTGCGTCCTTTTATGTCTTTTTGTTTCCAAAACAATAATTTGTTTTCTGTCTCATTTTGACCAATGCTACTGGTTATGGTTGCGAGTTTATTGTTTTTCTCTTTGAGTTTGTTTTCTTGAGGTCTTGAAAATTATGTATTTAATGAAAGTTTAACTTTGAATGGCCCTATATTGGCTGCAAAAGTTCATTATCGTTCGTAAATTAGGTTAAAAAAGTGAGTGTTCAAGATTAATTTAAAGAGATGATTAAGGAAAAAAGTTGGTCGGAAAACTTGTTTATATTAAAAGCCATTTTCTTCGGAGCTGCTTATTACCAAAAGGGTGTTTCCGACGCATGTTCATAGGTAGCCTGTCATGATACCCCTACTGTTCATGAGAAATTTCTCGACTGGGGCGAGCGTGGTGACTAGATCGACCTTGGAGAATAAATCCTCGTTGTTATTGTTGTTGTTGGAGTTCATTGTCAAAGTTCGAGTGGAGTTTGTGATTACAAGTATTTTTATTTGAAATGTGGCGAAAGGACATACCACTAACGAGCGAACACTCCGATAGGTTTTTGAAATTAATTCTTACTTCTATGGCTTAGAGCCTTCTGTTGTTTCTATGCTTCCATGTGACGCTCTTACCGACTTGGGCTCGAGAATGTGCGGATAAATCTGTGACAAGGTCTTGCGCTCGTGGTTCAGTAGTCATGCTGCCTCATGGTATTCGCTGTAGAAGAGCCTCTGGAGTATCCTGCAATTTTTGTTTTGAGTGTCCTATCATCTGGTGATACTCACAGAATAAGTTATTTTCTTCCGCCTCTAGGTTGGAAACAACTCGGTTATCTTCTAACAAAGATGTGAACTGAGGACTATCATTCACCATAATGAAAGGAATTATTGAAGTGAGTTGGGATATTATTGGATATTATTGAGATATGATTGCTGCATAGTATTTTTAATTTCCTATTAGTTTATATTTTTTTATTGTTTTTCTATATTTCTTGCGTCCTTTTATGTCTTTTTGTTTCCAAAACAATAATTTGTTTTTCTATATTTCTTGCGTCCTTTTATGTCTTTTTGTTTATATTTTTTTATTGTTTTTCTATATTTCTTGCGTCCTTTTATGTCTTTTTGTTTCCAAAACAATAATTTGTTTTTTGTCTCATTTTGACCAGTACTACTGGTTATGGTTGCGAGTTTATTGTTTTTCTACTTGAGTTTGTTCCCTTGAGGTCTTGAAATTAATGTATTTAATAAAGTTTAACTTTGAATGGACCTATTTGGGCTGCAATTGTTCATTATCGTTCGTAAATTAGGTTAAGAAACTGAGTGTTCAAGATTAATTTTAAGAGACGACTAAGGGAAAAAGTTGGTCGAAAATCTTGTTTATATTAGAAGCCAATTTCCTCGGACCTGCTTATCACCAAAAGGGTGTTTCCGACGCCTGTTCATGGGTAGCCTTTCATGATACCCCTACTGTTCATGAGAAATTTCTCAACTAGGGCGAGCGTGGTGACTATATCGACCTTGGAGAATAAATCCCCCTTGTTATTTTTGTTGTTGGAGTTCATTGTAAAAGTTCGAGCGGAGTTTGTGCTTACAAGTGTTTTTATTTGAAACGTGNCAAAAGGGTGTTTCCGACGCCTGTTCATGGGTAGCCTTTCATGATACCCCTACTGTTCATGAGAAATTTCTCAACTAGGGCGAGCGTGGTGACTATATCGACCTTGGAGAATAAATCCCCCTTGTTATTTTTGTTGTTGGAGTTCATTGTAAAAGTTCGAGCGGAGTTTGTGCTTACAAGTGTTTTTATTTGAAACGTGGGGAAAGGACATATCACTAACGAGCGAACACTCCGATAGGTTTTTGAAATTAATTCTTACTTCTATGGTTTAGAGCCTTCTGTTGTTTCTATGCTTCTATGTGACACTCTTACCGACTTGGGCTCGAGAATGTGCGGATAAATCTGTGACAAAGTCTTGCGCTCGTGGTTCAGTAGTCTTGCTGCCTCATGGTATTCCCTATAGAAGAGCCTCTCAAGTATCCTGGAATTTTTGTTTTGAGTGTCCTATCATCTGGTGATACTCACAAAATAAGTTCTTTTCTTCCGCCTCTAGGTCAGAAACAACTCGGTTATCTTCTAACCAAGATGTGAACTGAGGACTATCATTCACCATACTGAAAGGAATTATTGAAGTGAGTTGGGATATTATTGGATATTATTGAGATATGATTGCTGCATAGTATTTTTAATTTCCTATTAGTTTATATATGTATATTTTATAGCATGGATCGTAACTCCTAGCTCTTTTTAAAGACCTTGTAAGATTATATGGCAATACAACAAAGAGAATTCATTAAATCTAAATATTGGCTGTAGAAATATTGCTGTGATTTTTTTTGCTTTGGCTTTAGATTTTTAATTTTTAAAAGCCTTTAAATATGAGCTGTAAGTATTTGTCTCTGCAGAGCAATTATAAACATGAATTTAAGGAAGTGCTGTAGAATTAAAAAATTAAAAAAATGGCTTTGAGCTTTAGAAAAAATAAAAATCATGATTTGTGTAGATATAAGGCTGTAAGTATAATTATGCCTGTAAGTACAATAGCCAATCACACCTTATATCTGTATATTTTATAGCATGGATCGTAACTCCTAGCTCTTTTTAAAGACATTGTAAGTTTATATGGCAATACAACAAAGAGAATTCATTAAGTCTAAAACTAAAACATCTAAGTCATCCTAAAAAGACGATGATCTTGTATATTATGTTTATATACGTGGTTTCCATGATCTTGGTTTGCTGGAGTTCATAAATTTCTATTAGTGTATACTTAATTTTGTAGTATTAAAAATAGTAAATCAAACAACTAAATTATCTAAGTCATCTATACACAAGATTTTCAGATTTTTTCTTTTTTATTTACGTGGTTTCCATGATCTTGATTTGCTGGAGTTCAAAAGTTCAATTAGTATAAATTAAATTTTTGGTATTAAATCATGTAAATCTTTAGACTAAAACATCTTAGTCATCCTGACAAATCCCATGATTTTGTTTATATACGTGGTTTCCATGATCTTGATTTTCTGGAGTTCATAAATATCTTTAAGTATATAGTTAAATCTGAGGCTATATACATGGGAATATGCTTATACATATCATAAATTATTTCTGTTTATAGCATAACATGTACATGACTATCTGTATATTTTAAGTCGCTTCCAATTCATTAACATAAAATAAGATCTAGAAGTATGAACTTGAATTCTATATAAACCCTATAAAATTTCGTTAACCTACACAAAAACAAAATCTAACAAACAAACAATCTTTCTCCTACAAATTTATCATTTTCCTTCTTTCAAGATGGCTTCTAAAACTATTTCCATTGTTCTCCTCTTCAACATCATCTTCTTCACTATGGTTAATGCTCAATGTCCCCCAGACCAACTTGTTGTTAATGTATGTGCAAGTTTGTTGAATGGAGTGGTTGATGTTTCTCTGCCAGCAGGATCTTCTCCTTGTTGTCCCCTTCTCAGTGGTATCGT